ATAATTATAAAAATTATATGTACTACGCGTGAAGATTTTGTCTCACCCCTACCCTCCATTAAAAATTCATTTCAGCGTACACACACACACACACATATATCCGGATGGCGTTATAAAACACGTGGGTAAACATTTCGCGTAACAAGGTAAAAACGAAGTTGGAAATGTTTCACCTTTTTCCTTTCTCCTTCTATTTCTATTTCTCTGTTTCTTTCTATTTTCTTTTTCTTCTTTCTATTACGTTCCTTTTTTTGTTTTTTTTGATTCTTTCCTCTTTTTATTTTTTTTTTTTTTTTTTATTTATTTTATCTAAACTTTGTAATTAAATGCATCCGCTCGACTGTCGCGAAGTTACAAACACACTTTCTTTCCATGTCCCTTCTCTCCACATTTTCCTATCTCTTCGTCTACAAAATGCGAATGGGTGGAGGGGAGAAGGGATAAAAAAATAAAATAGAAAAAGAAAGAGGGGTAAAATGGAGTGCAGGAAAGAGGCAAAATAAATTACGAGAGAGACTGGGCTGGGCTGGGCTGGACTGTGCTTGCTTGCTGCTCATTAGCATAATTACGACTTACAGATAGGAACGATAGGCTTTGTCGAAATAAACAGAAAAAGAGAAAGTAAAAATAAGTAAATAGAATTTAAAAAAAAAAAAAAGAGAAAAAAAGAAAGAAATTAAAAATGAAAACGACAGCAAGAAGAAGAAAAAAACAGAGATAGATAGAGAAAGATAGAGATAGAAATAAATCGGATTTATCGAAAATCCCGTGGTCTTTATAGATGGGGATGGGATTTCATATTAATACATGTGAAGCTTTAAAAGTTTTCTGATTAGCCTAAATACGAGATACGAGAAACGTGGATGTACTACCCCCATACCTAAATCTTGCGTACACATGTATTAAAAATTATCTTCACGAACAGCCAAGATTGGATTACTTATGGGATTGCCGTTCCATAAGCTATGAAAGCCATTCGGGAACCAGCCCTAGAAAAGTGTGTAGGAAGAAAAATCATGTTGAATTTTTCTTGGATGCTCTTCGTACTAGCTTCGTACCCCCAACCTCGTCCCCTCCCAACGCCCCCCCCCCCCGACTTATAAGAAGAAGGTGGCTTTTTCGTTTTCCAATCGTTCCCATAAATTCGAACAGAAACGTGGCTGCCACTATTCCAGTTATTTTTCATCGTGTGTGACAAGTACGAGAAGAACGTAGAAAATATTCGCGCACGTAGAAATATAATTTTTTCTCTCTCTCTCTCTCTCTCTCTCTCTCTCTCTCTCTTCTTTTTCTTTTTTCATTACTTTCATATAATCTTTTTTCACATCGAAATTTGTCCAATTCGAAATTTGAGATTGTTTATTTTAACGAACGCGAAACGTTAAATCATTCATCTCCTCCCCTTTACGTTGTCGCGTTTCGTTTATCCTAGAAACGAAGGTCGTAGCAAGAAATACGTAAAAATAAAAAAAATAAACGCGGGGGAGAGAGAGAGGGACGAGAGGGAAAGGGAGAAAGAAAAAGAAAGAAAGAAAGAGAGAGAGAAAAATATGTGGATGCAGCAATTAACGGTCGTACTTCTTGTGCGTTACATTTTTGTATTTTCATTTCTATGTACTATATATATATATGTATATATATCCTATATATATCTATTTCTCTCTCTCTCTCTCTTTCTCTTTGTACACGTGTATGCGTCGTGAAACAGTTGGAAGCAGGTCGTACGTGACTTTTAGAACGACAGCTCGTTATTAGAGACTTTTGCGACATGTAAAAAGTCAAAGTAATGAAGTTAACGATGTCCACCGACCGACTCCCCATAGAGTTCATGAATTCTACTACCCATTGGATATATAAACGGATATTTTGTTTAAACCTATCGAATGAAATGAAGAAGAAGTTTATCGAAAAATCATTTCCTATGTTTCTCGTTGTTTACTTTTTTAAACAAATACATACACACACACATGTAGAAAAATTTAGTAAAAATATTTTTTATTCAATTCGTTACTGACAATGATCGATAAGAATATTTCTTTATTTTTATTTTTATTATTTTTCCGGTTTTTTTTTTTTTTTTTAAAGTGAAAACTTCTTTACAATGGGTATGATTTGAAAAAATGAAACACGGTGATGTAGTGGGGAAAAGAAACGGCCTTATAAATATATACGACTTTTTAAAAATAATTTATATATATTATAATTTTATATATAATTTTATTTAAATATAAAAAAATTCTTAATTTGCAAACATTTTATAAAGTGTTTTCTTATGTATTTTCTTTGTAATTATTATAAAAACGCGCGGCTGTAGGAATGCAACTCTCCAGACACACTTTCAAAATGTTGCTTGCGAGAGTCATCTGTCAGGACGGAATTTTTTTCTGCCCGAAAGATAGGCAAGCCGTAATACACACGTGTATAAACAGTTTTGATTGCAAAAAAATTCCGTCTCAGTAGATGGCACTCGCAAACAACATTTTCAAAGTGTGTCTGAAGAGTTGCATTCCCACAGGCGCGCGTTTTTATAATTAAATTAATAATTAAATAAATAATTACAAATTTAAATTACAAAATAATATTATAATAATATTAAATAATAAATTATCCTCGAAACTTATTTATTTCAAGGTTTCATTTCTAACTTGTGTGATATGCACACATGATTTGTTTGCTTTTATGAATCAAATTATGTAACAAAAGAACAACAAAAATGTATGAAAGGAAGGAAAGAAAGATAGGTAATAAAATCGTAATGATTTTTCTAAGTAGATATGAATTTTTCAAATAAGTCAGCAATATCGAATTGAAAAGGATATATTACGCAACGTAAAAATACACATTCGGTTTGGTGATAGGAGAAATCGATAAAACCTTTTCCTTCCTGTGACTACTACTACTACTACTACTACTACTATTACTACTACTATTACTACTGGCGACGGTGGTAACGAGGGTCGTCGACTTGTGCACGGAGTATAATAACGCACGGAAAAATATGTACGTTCTCTTCTACTTCTCTACTATACTATACTATACTATACGATACTATACTATACTATACTATACTACCTCTACTTCTTCTCGCTTTTCGTCCTGTCGTTCGTTCGTGTCGCTGCATTACACCCGTAATGCCAAGGCAAAATCCGTAAGAATTTGTAGCTTGTAACCCCACCTCACCCCTTCCCGTCCACCAAAAGATAGGTAGACAGACAGACAGACAGACAGACAGGCAGAAAGAAAGAGAGAGAGAGAGGGAGAGAGAGAGGAACAAATGTATAACAACTAAAAGAATATACTACTCTATTTTATTTTTTTATTTTTATTTTTTACTTAACCTTTTTTTTTTCTATTCACAAGTACTACACGATTCCGCTTCTCTCATATATATACATATATTATATATGATAGGAATATATATATTATTTAAAGGTACTATTATTTTTTTAAATGGCACCTTATATATATTTTTGAATTTATTACTATAGTTCATATTAATACGAATTCAACGAATTAGTATTTTTTTTTATTGCAATGTATAGTCATATTTAAAAAACAGTTCAACTTCTGTTTAAAGTATTTTTTTGTTAAGTTATCATAAGTACTTGAAAAATAATCGTGAATACAGTTATATGGGACATCATGTATTTTTTGGTTATAATAATTTATAATATATTCTTTTAAAAAGGAAATGCAATTAATTTCGGCTGGAACGTATTTATATATATATGTTTAACGAAGAAAATTAAAGAGGAAAATGAATATTTTACGAGAGTTGAATTTTCGACCAAAAAAAGAAGAAAAAAAGGAATAATAATATAATAAAATATTATTTCTCTCTATCCTTGCATTTTATTATGAGTATATATATTCATACGTATATATACGAATATATAATATATTATAATTAATATATAATTTTAATATAATAATTAGAATTAATATAATAATTATATAATTAATATATAATATATATAATATATATAATATATTAATATAATATATTATTATTAATACTATTATAATAGTATTAAATATATATTTAAATACTAATAAAATCTATATACGTAATATAATATAAAAAATACGAAATATATATATATATATATATATATAATATATAGATATTTAAATTTTTATATGAAAGGTCTAGATTATGTTCCTATATTTACAGAATAGACAGCACATTTTCTGCGCGTATGCGATATGCAATGGACCGGTCGATGATGAATGTTGCTCGTAATACCTAATGTTCCGTGTATATATACGATCTCTCGTAGGGCTTAAATCGAAATTAAATTTTCGCCTCGGTGCTGGCGATGATAGTACTTCTCTCTCTCTCTCTCTCATGCTGAGAGAAAGTTAATCCGTTTATTACGAGTTTTGCTAATGCGAGTTAAAGAACAATATATTACATACATATATATATATATATTATATTCTTTTCATTTTGTTACTTACAATTCTTCTTTTCTAACTTTCTTTTTTTTTTTTTTAATTTAATTTTATTTCTTTCATTTCGTTATTTCCGATTCATTTCTTTCGAGGTCTCTAATTAGTCATCGAATGTTCGTAAATAATTAATGAGAGATAGAAAAAGAGAGAGAGAGAGAGAGAGAAAGAGAGACAGACAAATTTGTGTAATCGAAAATACATTAATTAGAAATGAAATTTGGCGTATAGGATATACGTTAATAAATGTCGATACTTTTTGTCGTAATAATTTCTAATTTTATTTGAAACTTCGTTATATTTGTTTTAAAATTCCTATTCAGTATATAAAAGCAGTTATAACTTTTGAAATTACTCATACTGTAAATAATTCATAACATTTTGTTTTTCTACTCAGCAATTATTCGTTGGCCCCCTATAAGTATGCATAATTTGTTTTAATATACCAAATCGCAAATAAATAATAATAGTAATAATAATAAAAGGGAACAGCTGTACGAATTGATGATTCAATTATTTTCATTTTGTTTTATTTGTTTCAGATGTGAAGCACTGACTGCTAGCGATTTCGTCGAATTTTCCAATTACATGGCGAAAGATCGAAAATACTCAAGACATTGTGGTCAAATGAAAGAATTCGATGTTGACAGCGATAGAAAGTTCTTTCGTGTAACATTTAAAAGTAATGACAGATTGGATGGCACGGGGTTTAACGCAAGTTACGTATTCTTGGACGAGGAAGAAAATTATACGGTCAAAGCACCAACGAACGAAGCCATTCTCATACGATGTAAGAAAAATATTCGTTATAATAATTCAACAAGAAATTAGAAATAAAAGGAAAACAAAAAAGAAAGAACAAATAAAATGATAGATACAAAGTAAGAATTTCTAAACAAAATAAAACGAACACACAATTTCAATTTTATTCAAGAAAATATTTTGTTAACACATTCCGTGCCAAGCCCTTTTTATCTGACTTGTCATTCAGGTTATTTAATTTTGCTTTAACAAAATCAATCATTACATGTAATTATTTATTATTGTAAGTATAACAATTAAACAAACTTACGTACTTTGTTCTATACTGCATTTTGTATAATGCATCAATATGTTAATAGGAGAGAGAATATTTTCGAATTAAATTAAATTTGATTAAATTTAGAGTTAAATTTGTTATAAACAAATATATAAAATATATTGTAATAGGAATATTTTTGAATTTAATTAAATTTATTATAAACATATAATTTTAACATATTAAATAAATATATCTAATGGTAAATGTACCACCGGTGGTACACGTGGCATGGAATGTGTTAATTCAAATCTATAACATAACTTGATCTAAATAAATAATGAACAAAGTTTCTAAAATAAAATAAACAAAACTCAAACAAAATATTTGACCTAAACAAAATGAATGATAATAACGAAACACTTTATTATCATCATCATCATCATCATCATCATCATCATTATTATTATTATTATTATCGTCTTATTGTAATCATCATAATTATTATTAAAATCTAAACATTATTTTAATCATTTCAAGAGAGAAAGATAAAAAGTGAGAATGAGAGAGAGAGAGAGAGAGAGAGAGAGAGAGAGAAAGAACAAGAACTCGATTAATTATTTATTTATACGCAATACTAATTAACTCTAGTCATTTAATAATCGTCTCATATTATTAAACAAAATAGAGATCGATGCTTTGTCATTTACCAATCGCGTGTATGTGTCTGCTTTTACTCACACTTATTTATACGTGTATAGTATTTCACACACGTCGTGTGTGTTTCCTATTTCAAACGTTTACTTCATCCTTTATTATGAATTTATTTAACAATTTGCATGATGATGCAATTATAATGCGTCAAAGACCTTGGAGAATTCGTTATAGACACGTCTACACGTCTACTATTATTATTATTATTATTATTATTATTATTATTGGCTATAATACTCGTTTAGCAAAGTACCTGTAAATTTTACAATCGCATTACCATCAAAGAGAATTATTGAGAGAAATTAAAAAAAAAAAAAAACCTCTATAACCAATAAAAAAAAAAAAACGTTTAACGTTCCCATTTTTATCAAAGAATAATAACAGAGTACTCTCACCACCCCCTCACACCACCTAACCACCCTCATTCAGAGGGCTAATAAACTATGATCGAATTCGTTAAACATTTATCTCGATTATTTTTATAACCATTTGCATTTTTAACTTTTTAACCACAACACGATATTCTCGTTTCATCTACTGTGAAATAAAATTAAAAAAACCACATTTAAATTCTTGGTTTTTATTTTCTTTTTTTTTCTTTGCAATAAAAATTATTAATAAAAGAAAAGGAAAGGAAAATGATCGTCTCTTTTTTTTTCTTTTTTAATAAAATGATTTTATACGAATATATTGGGTTGTCCGGAAAGTTCGTGCTGATTTTGACGAAAGATTGAAACGCAACACATTTAAGTTCTTTTTATTTGGTATATATTTATTAAATTATATATAAATGCCATTTTGTTTGACAATCTTTCTCCATCTTTAAGGATAATTTCAAAATTTTATCCTTTCCAAACTTTTCAGGTTTTTTTTTTTTTGTAAAACAATTTTATGTCACTTAACGAAAATCGGCACGAACTTAACGAATACAAAACCCAATATTATATTATATAAAGATATCGAATAATAATCAAACGATGAGTTTGAAAAAATTGACGAGAAAAGTGTTTTAATAATAGACAAGTGAAACAATATCGAAGGAAAATCGAATTTAAGTCAGGTGTCGAGGTAAACAATAGACGTGTGAAACTTTAGCCAACAGTTTACAGCAAACTAACAAGAAACATATAAAGAGAAAGACAAGGGTTGTGTGATGGTGAGGTGGTATAGTGAGGAGTGGGAGGTTGATGGTGGTGATGGTGGTGATGGTGATGGTAGTGGTAGAGTTTAGGAGTAGGCCACGAAATACAAGAAAATCCAACAATGGCAATTACCTTTCAGTTCGCTAAAGCGTTGTCTCAACTACAAGTAATGAAATTACCTTGCTCCCCTGCTTTCTCGTTGTTTCGAAAACAAGTTACAAGTAGAACGCGTGGGCTCTTAAGATAGAAAGAGAAAATGTGTGTGTGTGTATATATATGTAAGTGAGTGAGTGAGAGAGTAGATTTGAGATCAGAGAAAAGCGTATAGTACGTTGTAGAGGCGATAATATCGTGAACCACGGGTATTACCACCACCACCACCATCACCACCTCACCCCTTTCCTTCACAACCCCTTCACCCACACCCACAAGGTGCACCACCACATTGTTGACTGCAATTTCAATATCAGACCCGGCGTTATTAAGCTACGATATGTTTCGTTGAAAACTTTCATATAATTGTGTAGCCAACGGTTATAACTTTTAGCCCCGGGTAAATATGAAATATCATTTTCATTTTCACCGACTTTGTATTTGCATACATATATACATATATATATCTATACATGTGTATGTGAATGTGTGTATGTGTGTGTGTGTATTTTTTTCTCTTTTATTTCTTTTATTTCTTGATTTTTTTTTTGTTCTTTTTTTTTATTTTTATACGTTATCTTCGTAAAGTAATCTCCAGTTGTAAAGATTTAATTTCACTGTTATTAAATATAAAATATAAAAATATTATATTATATAACATTTTGAAATCTGAGTATTATTAAATATAAATTAAATAAAGAATACATTTTCAATCCATTATCTCTCTTCATCGGATCCATTTTGTTAGATTGAGATGATACTCTTCTCTCTTCTCATTCGTTTATCGAAATAATTAATTTTCAAGTATTTCGTGTTATTAATATATTTCATTTAATAATTAAAACAAGCACGCGCGTATAGTTTTACTTATCAACAAGAAATCGAATCCAAAGAAAAACAAATGAATATATAACGAACATACGTAAGATTTAAATTAATCACCCCTATAACTAAGAATTACTATGAACGTGACAATTAATTAACACTATGGCATCCGATGGCACCACTCTGGTGCCATACAAAAACTATCTGTTGTATGCCATTAAAAATAAACCAACCAATAACATTTGAATTATATTTCGTGGATGTTTAGGGAAATATAATAACCATAAAATTATACTTATTTAATCAAGAATTAAGTAAGACAAATTTTTGGGTAACATATTTCAATTAAATCAATAAACATTGCCACGCCACCTTCTAAATTTTGTAAAAATCCAAAATTTCCAACCTATTATGCTCGTGTCGAACAAAAGAAACATATCTAATGTAAGATCTTTGGACGACATAATGTTAATAATAATGATAATTCTTAATAAAGTAAAGTTAAGTAAATTGATGACAAAATACTTCTTCATCTTGTTCGTTAGAAACCGATGGAAACTTGTCGAGGAATTTGCTTTTGAGAAATGAAGTATGATACGTAATAGAGAGAAAGAGAATTAGTGTTGAAAGGGGATGTGAAAGGGGTTTTAGAATAGAACTAGCGTTATCGAGAACGTTGTAATAGAACTAAACGTCAAGTTAGTTTGTGTCTTCTTTTTGTTTCAAGGTACTACGGTACTCCTGTTCCTTACAAGTTGTCTTCTCCTTGGCCATACTTCGCCTTAATCACGATCGGCAACTACTTGTGGATGGGTTTTGGCTCAATTTACAACGAACTAAACAACTTGGAGAGATCGAGAACCATCTCGAAGTCAGTCAGAATCCAAAATACCAACTGGAAGGGTGCGGGGGTGAGGAGGGGGACGGGGGCGGGGCTCCCCAAGCCTTGTTCTCTCTCTAACTCAACAAATACAATACTACCAACTACTATTCTATTAACCAACATTACCATCATCGTCATCGTCTTACCATTCAACCCAACCAATCAACACCATAACACCCAGTGTTCTCTTCCTACTACTATTACTACTACTATTACTACTACTACTACTACTACTACTACCCACTTCGCAAACCCTTCAGGAGTGTGTAGCATCGAAGAATGTGCCTCTGCTACTACTGCTGCAATTGATGACGCAGTTGTTGATGCAGTTAATACTCCGTTTGCGTCAATGGAATTGCCAAAAGGGATATAACATCACCCGAAGAACGACAAAGACAGCTATTACGTATTTCCAAATTAGATTCATTTGGTCTAATAAATATCTTATATACACATACATATACATATATATATATATATATATATATATATATATATATGTATGGGTATATAAGATATACATAATACATTCGTATCATTTCTATGTAATATGTTACATTTATGCTATATGTTCATATATATAATCTCCTATACATTATACAATAATACTGTATATGTGTATAGTAATATATATGTATAACATAGTATTCTAATACGAGATGACGTCCGTTTGAGATATATCCAAGTGACACGATTGCTCCTAGGGAGAGATAACGAAACAGAGAGAAAGAGAGAGAGAGAGAGTAAGAGTGATAGAGAGAGTGAGTGAGAATGAGAGATCGAGAGAGAGAGAGAGAGAGAGAGAGAGATATAACTATTGGCAATAATCTGCAATTCCAGATCGCTGTATAATTCGTGGATAACGATGGACGATCTTGTTGTTAGAAGATGACAGGAATTTCACGAGATAGTTTATATGATGTCACATAAAAGAAAAAGTATTATTATTATTATTGCTGTTTCTGATACTGCAACTGCTAATGTGTCGTATATATATATAAATATATATATTCTATTCAATTGTTATTATTATTATTATTATAATTGTAATTATAATTTTAATTATTATTATTATTGTTATTATTATTATAATTATGTTATTATTAGCAATGAATTTAGAGATTACTCTTAAATATTGAATTTAACTGGAATTAGCATTTTATTTTGAAAGATAGTTTTAAATGCAACATTATATTGAATTACATACACGAAAAGATCGATTATTAAATATTATCTGTAAGATATCGTACCTGACAAAATATTCCTTTTTAATCTATCCAGAATACAGCAAACATACGTACTAACTAACTAACTAACTAACTAATTAACTAACTAACTAACTAAACTAAACTAAACTAAACTAAAGTAAACTAAACTAACTAAAGAAAAAATAACGCAACAATCAGGGATTAGTTCGAACCAATCTGCGTGACACTTTTGTTTTTAAACGAAAAATAAAAACAAAAAAAAAAAAGAAGACAAGTAAAATAAAATATTCAATTCACACACCGGCATCGATATAACATTTTTCTCTCTCAAATAATAATTAATTCATTATTATTATTATTATTATTATATAATAATAATTAAACGAATTTATTAATCGATAATATAATGAAAACAATCTATATCGATTTCGATATCGATCAATCATTCGTAAAGTAATAATCATACACCTGCGTACACGCTGTATCGAATAGTATGTGTCTGCTGTGTGCCTGTGTGCCTGTGTGTGTATGTGTGTATGTATGTGTATGTTTAAGAATTGAACTGTCAAAAAAAAAAAAAGATGATAAAAATCTCGTATAAAACAAAACAAAAATTCAACAGAGAAAAACAATTCGCCTTTTTGAACGCACTATTAAAAAACACATTTTATTACTGCATGATATACTCTATACGACTGTGATGTTCCCATTCATTCTTTTCCTAGTATATATTATACATATATATATATATATATATATATATTAGAAAAGATTAACATGATGATTATAACAAAAAAAAAATTAATTAACCCTAATGAAAGGATAAAGTCTGACCACACGCGAAATTGAAATACTTTCAATCATAATCTTTACAACTATACCAAAGATAATCACGAAACTTGACGCGTTATAATAATCGAGTTTTTGGAAAGGAAAAAAAAAAACAAAAAAAAATGAAATTAGAAAAAAAAAGGACACACGTCACGTCAGAATAGGACGGGTTGTTTTTTCTTTTAAATAAAAAATAAAAATAAAAAAAAATGGAAGATTCTTATAAAGAATAGTTTAAATCTAACTGAACGAACGAACGAACGAACGAACGAACGAACGAACGAACGAGATAAAAAGAAAATCGTGAACGAGATCGATGATAAATAAACAATTATTCGATGAAATATAAATATATATACATAAAATAAATAAAAAAAAAATAAATCGTGACTAATTGTCAGTTAAAAAATTCAATTAACAACTACGTAATTAAAATTAACAAAATTTAATACCGATCGATATATAATAATGTGACATAATATTATTATTACTATTATTATTATTATTATTATTACAAATAAAATAAATAAATATCGTTGATTATTCCCCAATGTCGATAGTTTCATTCTATTTGTGCCTAAAAATCATTGAAATGAAATTTCAATAATTGCAGGAAATAAAATGAAATTAAAAAAAGAAAAAAAAATAGAATAAACAAATCGACGTTTGAAAAAATCGATCGGTGAACGAATGATATTGAAAAAGAGAACAAAAATTATACAGAATGAGAGAGAGAAAGAGAGAAAGGGAGAGAGGGAGAAAGAGAAAGAAAGAGATAGCAAAAAATAAAAGGTTTTCCGAATTCGATATCAAATGACGTGCATCTATAGACGCACACATAAATAAAATAAAATAAAATAAAATAAAATAAAATAAAATAAAATAAAATAAAATAAAATAAAATAAATAAAAGTAGGTAGCAATACTGTAATTGTGTACGCGTTAGACTATATTGTGAAAATTTTTTAATAGGTTTATAATGCGTTGATTGATAACTTATCCCAAATGTTTAGGTTTTCACTTTTGAGGACCCCACGTTGTGTGTATGTGATATAAAATCCAAGAGTGTGTGAATAAATAAATAAATAAATAAGTGAAAAAGACAAAAAAAAAACATTAAAAGCACAGAGAAAAAGAGAGAGAGAGAGAGGGTGAGAATGAAAGGTATAAAAGAAAGAAAGAAAAGAAAAAAGGAAACACAAAAAAAAACAAATACACATTCGTAGGAATAAGTGTGAAACCAATAATCGTTTCTATTTATTATTAATTTATATATGTTATTCATGAGAAAAAAAAGAAGATGATTAAACAAATGAACAAACAATATATATATATATATAATAATAGTAATAATAATAATAATAATTATTATAATTATAATAATAATAATAACAAGAGAAACAAAACAAAACAAAAAAAGTAATGAAAGATACAGAGTAAAAAAACATTATTATTATTATTAGTAAATTGTAATACCTAAATTGGCACTATGAAGAAAAAAAAAAGAAGAAGAAGAAGAAGGAGAAAAAAAAAATAATAATACTGCTTGTATGTAACTATCACGTTGTAAATATCGTTACATTTAATCCGTTCGAACTGCTGCTGTCATCACTCTAACACACATTACATTATACATTACATAAATAACACATAAATTACATATACATTAAAATACATATTATCATACTACACTTGGCATTCCGTACCAATTAACCTCGCGAATATTAAAAAAAAAAAAAAAAAAAAAAAAAAAAAAAAATCTCAGAGATTAAAGAGGAAAGAACCGATAAAAAGTCGTCGCATAAATGATTAGAATAATTTCAACGAGATCTCGACGAATAAAATGGGAAAGGGAAATAAAGGAACACAATTATTTAAACAAATAGAAGAAAAAAGAAAAAAAAAAGAAATATTTGAAAAAATTCTAACGAAATGAACAGCTTCCTTCGACCACATGCTATTTTTTTTCTTTAAAACCTGAAAATAATATTTCAAACGAAATAGTTTGAACATTTATTCATTTTTTAATAAAAACAAAAAATAGCCTTAAATCATTATCATCATCATCATCATCATCATCCTATTTTCTACCATCGAAACAAAAGGAAAATCTTCGAGCAAGGAAGAAACATCGTAAATTTGCAGGAATTTTTTCTTTCTTTTCCTTTTCTCTCTCTCTCTCTCTCTCTCTCTCTCTCTTTCTCTCTCCTTCTCTCTTTCTTTATTTATAAAAAAAAATAATATGTACTCGTGGAATTTTAAAAAAGAACTAATACAAAATAGAAAAATATAATATAATATATATATTACAAGGATCAACATATAATAGATAAATAAAAAAAAAGAAAATAATGAAAAAATAATTACCAGAATTCCTGCAATATACGACGTTTGAACTTTTAGGGCCTCACCTTTTTTTTTATCTATCAATTTATATATATATATTTTATAATTTTTATATCATTTATATTTTAATATAACTAATTTATTTTAATTTATTTTTATATAATTATTATATAATATAATAATTTATTTTTTAATTTCAATTTAATATAATTTTTATATAATTTATATTTTTATGTAATTAAATTTAATATAATTATAATATAATTTAATTAATTTTTATATAATTATTATATAATATAATAATTTATTTTTTAATTTCAATTTAATATAATTTTTGTATAATTTATATATACTTTTTATATATTATAATTATATTTAATATATAATATATATAAAACACATTGAAAAACATTAAAATCATTCAATAGATCTTTTAAAAATAATAACTTGATTATAACATATTATAAAAACAAAATTTTTTTAAATAAATAAATAAAAAAATAATACGAAGATATTCCTTTTCGAATAGGATAATGGTGAACATAAAAAGATGGCCACGATATCCGTCATACTTCAGGTGGGGATATATTTTCTTATTCTGTTTTGAGGCTCTTGCCTTTGCTCAAATCTCATATTACATGATACATAAATATATATATATTATATATAAGTTGTAATCGATATTGTAAATGATGCCGATTTCATCATCATCATCATCATCATCGTTTCTATCTCTCTCTCTCTTTCACTCTCCTTGTCTCTCTTTTCAACCCTCCTACATTTTCCTCATACCATAAAACGAAAGAAAGAATAGTACGAGAATAAAAATGCAAATATAAATAAACAAAAAGACAAAATAAAATCATCAAACTTTTTTTTTTCAAAATACACCTAATCCTCTTTTTTTTCTTCATTTTCATCCTCCCCCTCCTCCACCTACTTCGCCATCACTGATAAAAGAATCTTATCATAAACAAATAATGAAATGAAATGAAATGAAAAAGGAACAATTAAAAACAAAAATAATATAACGAAAGAAATAAATGAATGATTATGGTGAATATTATGGTGAATTTGATTTTTATAGTTAAACCAAACAAATTCGTTGTTAAACGTTTCTCAACATATTCTCTTCTCACGTTTATGCTTCCCATTATTATTATTAATAATATTATTGTAATTATTATTGAATATACGATTACTTTAACACATATACACATATGTTTTTTTATACTACATATATCTATCACAATTCCTTTTCTTTATTATTTCTAATGTTAATATACATTCTTTCTTTATTTTTATTGTTTTAGTTTTATTTTAATAATATTTTTACGTTACCGATAGAAAAAGAAAGAGAGAGAGAGAGATAGAGAGATTTATTTTTTACCTTGGAAACGATAAATAAAGGTTTACTTGCAATTACTATTTCGAATTAACGATGGTACATCGTTTAGGCAACATTAAACTGTATTTCATTGCACTTGAAACTAGGCTTTCATTCAAGAGCACGCAGTTGGAAGATCGTTAACCAGAGATGTGCTTGAAATAATTCCCTGCACAACGGAAAATAGAGTAAAAAAGAAAAAGAGAGAATGAGAGAGTGAGAGAGAAGAGAAGAGAAGAGAAGAGAAGAGAAGAGAAGAGAAGAGAGGAGAGGATTGTATGGTCGACTTAATTTAAATAAAATCGAGATTCGAAACGATAAACTCGTCATATTTTTGTTCAATTCTTTTTTTTTTTTTCATTTTGTTTCTTTATTTAAAATTAAAAATACAAATTAAAATATCTACCAAAAATTCCACTTATGTTAGTTTCCTAATAATTAATTATTGTTTAGATTAAATGCACAATTAATTGCACATTAGTATGCAGTTAACGCATTTAGTTATGCAGTTCAACAATAACAATCTATTTTCCACGTTTTGACCAGGTATATATATATATTTTGATATATTATTATTCTTATAATATAATAATATTTATTTATATTAATATTTAATATAATTATATAAATTATATTAAATTAAATTAAATCATAAAACAAGGTCTCAGATTAGATTTCACATATTTTTAACACACGAGTAAGTAATTACATATAATATCTAAAAAAAAAAAAGAAATAGAAAAGAATAATATTTAAAAATGAATAAAATAGTACGATATGATATTACAATATAGAATTTAAAATGAAATTTTTTCTCAAATTTTAATTACAACATGTGTAACAAAATACATTAGAAAATAAACAAAAAAAAAAGAAAAATTATAAGTTCCATCTAAAAGAAAATGAAAGAAATGAATGAATGAACAAAACTGTGAGTGACTGTACATGAATGTGTTGATTTACTATTAAGAAACCACGTGACTTACGCCCTCTAACGTTTCAGAATGAACGTAAGTTTGAACTCGGTCGGTCGGTTATGATCAATGAAAGGTAGCGCTTTGGTCGTGTGTTATCTTCAAACATCATTTTATATTATGACGAAACTTTGATAAAGGAAAGGAAGATCTCGCGCTTGCGCTTTTACCTGCTAATGGACACAAACACAAAGTTGATTAGTGTTATACCTGGTGCCAACCCACCAACCAACCAACCAACCAACCAACGACGCGACGACAACGAAACCAACAGTTTGTGTCGAGCATAGAGAAAGTAAAAACCTCCTACTTGCTGACAGTATTCTCGAATTTCAGAAAATCTCGTTCGATACTACCAATAGTGGTGGTGCAACTGTGCCCTTTTATAAAACCCATAAGAGCGCAGTCGCGCGCCAAGTCTTATTGGGTGGGAGGTGATCAGCTGTGATAGAACATAACACACACGAGGACACACATCGAGATGTTCGTCCTGCAGAAATCTATATTGTAAGTAAAAAAAAAAAAAAAAAACTCACATTTTATAAGACATTTGTTAACTCTCCCCATCCCCTTTTTTTAACTCGTATGAATTATCAACTAATTTTATTTCATTATTCCATTCTAACTCGAGATAATAATTATAATCATTATTATTTCATTGATCAATTTGATGCAAGTAGTAAGGAATAGTAAAATCGAACTTAACGAAAATTCCTACCCTCATTTTTATCTAATTTTTGTTTCCTATTCAAAATATATTTTCACAACTATAGTTCTATCGAAATGGCCAAACATCAACACAAACCTAATGTCGGTTAAGAATCAATAAATAACTCGATTATATATATTTTTGTGTGTCTATCATACTGCAAATTATTGAACACGTGCCTAATTTTATATTAATTATGTGTGTTATACTGTGATATAAAAATTGTTTGAAAATTATTTTTTTGAGAGACACGATTATGTTGAATTAAATTTTTTCTTCGCAATAATGTGTATACATTTAGGATATTAACGAATATAGTAGAGAAGTATAGTTAAGAGACAGACATCCTCTCTCACATCTGAGTTGTGCTAACCTCGCTTCTGCCGCAATGCGGTGCTGAAAATAGGAGTACACTTCGCTTCGAAGCATCCGCCGATCGATACCAGGCCGGGGTTTAGGATTCCTTTTATTATCGTTGTGTTGTGCCCTTTATATTTGTCAATACTTCATTTTTTTCTCTTGCTATTCCTCCTCGTTCACCTCCTCCTCCTCCTCCTAATCCTATTCCTTGTTTTATACTTCAAAATTTACATTACGTACTTTTATTCTCATTTATACTTTGTGCACTTTTTTTTTCTAATTTAATTATTTGATTCATTCTAAACAAAATTAATTTTATTTATGCATAATATTTATGAATATTTTTGTTCAGTGAAAAATATAGGATTGGTTTACGTTATGAAATTAAAATTGCATTCTAATAGTCGAGAGAGAAGTCTACGTGGATTATTGAAAAGGTCAAACACCTTGAATCTTTTCATCTCTTTCACGTTTCTTTTTGCCTGTCCTTTCATATGATAAAATTCTCATACGTTTATAAATGAACCGTTAGATGATGTAGTAGAGAGGAAATCTCATGCTGACAATGACTCATTGGGGAAACATAAGATAAATAATTTGTAGCAGGTTATCTCGTTAGAAAGTCGATAAATCGTAATTAAATTCGAAATATTCAAATTATAAATATTATCGTACAAAAATGTCCATTTTTTTTTTGTCTATAAATATTACAATAAGTTTATTATATATGTTATTTGTTTAAAACAAAGTAATGTTTTTTTTTTGTTAATATTACAATATTAATAAATTATAATCGATTGAATTAATTTTATCTTTAATTTATACATTTATTATTATATTCAATTATTTAATTATTAATATAATTAATATTAAATATAGAAAAAATATATATAATTAATATTACAATATTTATTATTATTTAATTTATTTTCTTATTACATCAAATTATTTGAAAAGGTTTTATTTTCGTGTCCTAGTTACACGAATGTGCTAATGGCAAATTTTGTTTAAAATAAAGCAATGTTTTTATTTAATATTACAATTAATAAATTATAATCCATTGAATTAATCTTAACTTTAATTTATACATTTCTGATTATATCCAATTATCATTATAAATTATTTGTAAAGGTTTTATTTTCGTGTCCTAGTTGCACGAATGAGCTAATGGCAAATATAATCGACCCATATAGAAAATTTTTCCATCGGTTTTACCTACTTGATTATCTTTGCCAAGCTTTAAAGTAGATAGAACTTTTAGTTCAATTTCCTAACGTCAAATGATACCTTTAACATAGTACATCGAAATAATGAACGAACAGATGTTCACAAAACCTTTTTCTTCATTTCTCAAATATACGAGACAGAAGTTTATTGCTCATGTATAACATTTTACATCTGTTGTTCGATTATTTTTCTAGTAATAGACAAAACAACATTTTTTGTTTCACGAGAAAACGAATCAATCAGATTTTTTTTTATAAATTTACACACGATTTTCCTCTTTTATTTTATCGTTTTATATTACATTTCAAAGTGTGAAATATTCAATAAATTTTTGTTCCTAAATGTAATTTAAAACAAGACAAATTAAGGTTTAATATACCTTAATATATAAACCTGTAATAGGTTATATAGTTAATGTTATAATATAGTTACAGTTATTATAATATATAGTTTTTTATATTAATATTATATTATAAATATATAATTATAAATATAATATAATATTATTTAATATTATAATTTATATACAATTTATTATAGTAAATATATAATATTATAAATTATAATATATATATTATTTAATTTTATAATTTATATATTATAATAAATATATATAATATTTATTATAATATATTATTAAAATATTATAAATTATAATATATTACTATAATATTATAAATTATAATATATTACTATAATATTATAAATTATAATATATTATTTAATAATATAATTAATATATAATTTATATATTATAATAAATATAATTATATATATAAACCTATAACCTTAACCAGGTTATTTTTTCAAGTTATTTAAAATACCCATAACTAACATTTTAGTGATTTCATATTCGCATTTTTTTATCAGCGAAAAAAAGATACAAAAATATTACCTTATTTTTTCTCAGTAAAATATTTATGAGAAATTTTATTATCGCATATTTTTAAAAAAACAAATACAGAATAACGTTATGTTTTTTAAGTTACGTTTATTATTGTTTTTTTTTTTATTATCTACTTTATTATCACAAATATATTGTATTGAACAATCATTTAACTATATTTATTCAAGGCAAGTTCTTAACAATCGTTAAGTCTTGTAACGAATCAAGACAAAGAGGTATTATCGAAACAATAAGAAACACAACACGCTTGCTTAGACACGCGTATTAGTTCGTCAATGTAATTAATGTAACGTTCATTTTTTTTTTTTTTTGATAACTATGCTTTTTTTTTTTAACACTAGTCATTCAGTTAGAAACGTTCAAACCGAATGGGTTTCAGAATAAATGTATCTTATTAAATTTATTATTAATTTAAAATTATTTGTATTTGTTTTCTGTGAGATTCAAATCATTCAAATTAATATTTCGAAAACATAATAATATTATATGTAATATATCGTCAGAAGTATATTATTCGTTTCATGATGAACTGTATTATACGTAGGAGAAAATTGATCGAAGGACGTATCAATCTGTAAGTTGTAACTATTCAATGTATAAATACTATATAATACTATTTAATACATTTCATCTGCTTTTTTTTCCTTTTTAAATCCTAACTGTTGATTGACAACTATTATAAAGATTCTAATCAATTGAAAAAAAGAAAGGAAAAAAAAAACCGTATTCAAACTCACTCTCTTTGATAAATTTTTCTTAGTAAACTTCGATATCATATAGATTAGATATTATATAACACTCTATCAAAGAAATTAATATTTAATATGATTGTTCCTTCGTAATTTTATTTTTTTTTTTTTTAATAGAATTTGATTGTATTTATATTATATTTCTATATAATTATATAATAATAATATAATAAAATATTATATAAATATATAATAATAATTCTATATAAATATATAATAATATAATTATATATAATAATAATATAATAATAATAATAATAATAATATATTATTATATATTTATATATTATTATTATATTATTATTATTATTATTATTATTATTATTATTATTATTATTATTATTATTATTATATATATTATATTTGATTCTATCTTATATCCTATCAATGAATACCTTTATGTCAATTTCAATTGATTTTTCTAACTCAAATACAAGCTTCTAGATAAACGATTGGAAATAACGAATAGAAATATAAAAAAGAAAAGAAAAGAAATAAATCAAAAGAAATAAAGAGAAGTGTGTGTTCAATGAAGTGAAATAAAATAATTCATTCAAAGAAGATTACAAAAAATTACAAGAATTCAAACGAGATAATAATAATAATAATAATAATTGAACGGTATTATGGTAGTTTAAATATGATCATTTAATGGCAATGAGGAAACCGTAATGAACAAGGTTGTTGCGGTGAGGAAGGGTGACGTCAAGTTTCGTAATACAAACGTGTGTGTGTATGTACATATGTCTACGTGTGTGACATAATAATAATCATACGTACAGACAATATAACGAAAATGATTTAATACTTGGAACGAAGAATTCCCCCCCCCACCCACTACCCACATTTTTCTCTTTATTTTTATTTTTTTTTTATTTTATGAGACATTTATTTTCTTACCTAAATATATTTTTCGCGATGTCGCTTTCGTTAAAAGAAGATTGGTTATGTAAGCATTTTTGACATGAGGTTTGTTCTCTCAAATCTGGCTATATGCCACGAGAAATAATAATAATAGACAAATTTAATCTCGCGTAGAATACTTTTACGATTATATATATATATATATATATATATATATATATATATATATATATATATATATATATATATATATATAGAGTTATAGAAATAATCTAAAAATATTTGTTTATTTTATTCTTAATGTTTATTTATTGATATACTAATTTTTTCTTTTCTTTTAATTTTTTTGTGTATCACAAATTTTATTTATGCTACTGGGAAAAAAGAATATTAATAATAATAATAATAATAATAATAATATTAGGCAATATATATTCTATTATATTATATTAATTATCATTAATAAAATTAATATACATTAAATTATTATTAATAAAAAAATTATAAAATAAATTATAATAATATTAGTAAATTAAAATTTATATTTTAGTAAAATAATATTATATTTATATATATTATGTAATTATATTATTAAATTAAATATTAATATATATATATATATAGAAATATATTATATTTAATTTTTAAATTTTAATTTTTAATTTTTAAATTAAATTATTAAATATAGAAAATCTATATAGAATATATAGAATATATATATGAAATAATATATATATAAAAATAATAATCTAAAAATATTTGTTTATTTTATTCTTTATCAATTTGTTGGTATAACAATTTTTTCCTTTCTTTTCTTCTTTTATTATACCACAAATTTTATATACTCTACAAGGTAAAAAGAATAATATTAATAATGGACAACTCTAATCTCTCGTAAAAAAACATTTAAGATTCTACATTGGATATAATAAAAAATGTAAAAATATCTTTTCATTCTGTTAATATCTATAAACAGTTATAATCTTTTTTATTCGAATTATATTTTTAGAAATGCCATAAAGCGTCTGTGAGTCAGTACTTTCATCGATCGAAATATCAAAATCCTTGGAATTACTATTTCTCCTAGCCTATATTCGTGTTCAATATATTATACAACTCTGTATATATATATACACACACACCGTTAATTAGTTTAAGTGAAGTTAGGTTTGATAAGCATACGTATGAAACGTTATCATCATCTATCTTTCTATAGAAATGATAAAATACTAACATATGCTATTGATAGACTACATTTCCATTTAGAATTATATTGCAAAATGTCAAATGTCAAAAGAATCCCTGACAATTTATTCGATTAATTTGAACATTTTTGTTGTTGTTTTGTTTTTATATTATTCTCGTTTAATAATAACTTTTTAAATAGATCCAAATGCAATGGACGTTTTAAATGCAATATTATGTACGATACTTGTGTAAACAAGTTGTTTGGCATCAGTTCTATCGATGAATAATAATAATAATAATAAAATAGAAAAGAATGCCTCTAAAATGTATATAAAAAAAAAATAACATTTCATTTATGTTCACCATATCACAACCTAATTTTTCAATTAATTACTTGTCACGAACACCTGTGGTCTTTAGTAAACAATTGAAAATACTTTTCAAGTGAATTTATTTTCTACGATGCGAATGACCCGTACGAACTGACAGCTACTCGAAATAGAAACTTCAAGGTTGTGACACGAGATGGATGGAAAATTTTTACAAGTTAAATGTAAAACCTTCCATTTTACAATACTATGATTTTTCTTCGAAATTCTCTCCCACGAGATTTCTTTTTTTTTTTTTTTTGAAAGAGAGTATTAAAAAAAGAAAACAAAAATATTCAATCATTCATTCGTAACGTTAACAAATACCAAATTGTATTGACAATAAAAGATTGCATTAGTTGTATCGAATTTTTGCAAATATTTCACGTTTTATTACATAAATATAAATATATTTTAAAAATTAATTATCAATTAACAATAATTCTTAAACGAATCGTGATTTAAATTTACTACGATCAGCCCCCCCCCGCCCTGCCCCGCCCCGCTTCTAGGTGACGAATTTTTGGTCTTATCTTAGGCATCATGCCAAAAAGGTTACTATACTACTTTCATTTCTACACATGCACTATTTATTTATTCCTTTCGAGAAAAATATTTGAAGAATGTTAAACGTACAATTAATAATTCACATGAAATTTCTTTCAATTCGTTTAATCGTCATAGTTTAATTATTATATTTCCTGCTTACCATTGATATCTTTTTATAAACGTGAGTTGTATGAATCATCATAATACTAAATGGTTCTTGGTGTTGGTCATATTAACAGGATATTTTTGACGTCATTAAATGAAAAGAAAGAAAAGGAAAACAACCCACTTTTATTCCCACGCTACCAATTTTGATTAATTTATTACACGAGTGTAATAAAAGTATGATATATATATATATATCATTGAATAATTGCTATAACCATATTGTATATCACACATATGAATCAAATTAATAATGATAATAATTATATTCATGTTATTATCTAACGTTAATTATAATTTTCTTTTTTTTTTATTTATTTATTTAAATTAGATCAGCTTGCAGCAGAAATTCTGGAGGATCATGGGCACGTGTTTTACCACCTTCACATCCTGCGATAAAGGATACGAGACAAAGGGATATTCACGAAGTTTCTGGAGATGTTGTTCCTATCAACATGGTTAAGGGTATCGGACATCTCAGAGATCCTCGTTTGAATAAGGTATAATTATTAAATAATAAGAAACTAAAAATTATTTAAATATTTTATCGAATTTATGTAGAATATAAGCACCTTCAAATTTGATAAAGGACCAATTATTATTTTTAAGAGATTAATTTATTATTTTATTATATTTATTACAAATAAATAATACAATATATTATATATAATATTAAATATAATATTAATAAAATTAAAATTAATATTATAAATATATAATATTATATACTCTAATATAATATTACTATACTAGTATACTATACTAGTATAATATATTAAATGTTATAAATTATATATTTTATATATAATATTAAATATAATAAATAATATATTTTATTATTTATAATTATTAATATATATTACATAAAATATATATTAATAAAACAAAGAAACTATGTTTCATAAATAACTTAATTTTAATTTTGAAAAATGTATTTTTTTTAATAGTCTACTTAAGATAAGAATTACTAAAGTTTATTTTCAAGAAATTAATATGAGTATGTATGTATTTGTTCAAAGCCATAAAAATGTGTGTAAACCTATGTGTGTAAGTTTGTGGTTTGTTAGAAAGAATTTACGATAATAAATGATAAGTTATAATTTAATAACGTTATAAATGTCATCTAACAGGGTTTGGCTTTTACACTGAAGGAGAGAATATCATTGGGAATTCATGGTCTCCAACCACCACGATTTAAAACTCAAGAAGAACAATTGGCATTATGCAAGGCTTCGGTTATGAAATATACCGAAGATTTAAATCGTTATCTTTACCTTGTCGAATTACAGGTAACGATAAATATTCGTTTCTTTTATAAATTTACAATAACATTTCATAAATAATAAATCTTTAACAATATTAAAAATTAAATGGATTATTTTGTTTGTTTGTATTTTCAACAGGAAAGAAACGAAAGATTATTTTTCCGATTATTAAGTGAAAACATCGAACAAATGATGCCAATTGTTTATACACCAACTGTTGGATTAGCTTGTCAAAAATTTGGTGTCATATATCGTCGACCACGTGGATTATTTATAACAATATACGACAAAGGTCACATTTATGAGATTCTCAACAATTGGTTTGTATGCATTTCTAAATTCAAATTAAATCTACGATTACACACATACATATAGAAAAAATAAATGATTATTTATTTGAATAAAATTGGTAATTAATTGTTATCAGGCCAGAACAAGCAGTTCGTGCAATTTGTGTTACCGATGGCGAGAGAATTTTAGGTTTGGGTGATTTAGGTGCCTGTGGTATGGGAATACCAGTTGGAAAATTGGCACTTTACACTGCTTTAGCTGGAATAAAACCTCATCAATGTTTACCAATTACTATAGACGTTGGTACAAATAACGAACAACTACGTGATGATCCTCATTACATTGGTTTAAACAAACCAAGAAGTCAAGGTGCTGAATATGATGAATTGATCGACGAATTTATGGCTGCTTGTGTACGAAAATATGGACAAAACGTTCTTATTCAAGTAATTTCATCATTTTCAATATACATATAATGGTAAATTGTTATTTATTTTATCTAATAATTATATATATATTTCAAATGTTGCAGTTTGAAGATTTTGGAAATCACAATGCTTTTCGTTTTCTGGACAAATATCGTGACAAATATTGCACTTTTAACGATGACATTCAAGGAACAGCTGCTGTAGCAGTTGCTGGTATACTTGCATCGAAAAGAATAACAAAAAGAAAAATGTCTAATAACAAATTTGTATTTCTTGGTGCTGGTGAGGTATGCAGACATGTACTTGACTTTGTTTTTGTTGAAAATTAATTAATCAATAAGTTTTTAAATTTGTAATAACATAATTATTAAAAAAAAAAAAAAGTAACACGTACTTTAAAAAGCTTTATCTAATATTACGATAAAATTAAAAAAACAAACAGGCAGCAATAGGAATAGCTGATTTATGCGTGAAAGCAATGGAAGCTGACGGTTGTACAGAAGCCGAAGCTAGAAATAATATTTGGATGATGGATATCGATGGTTTGTTGGTTAAAAATCGTCCTGAGGGTAATCTCGAGGGTCATAAAATTTGGTATGCTAAAGATTACAAGGTAATGAAATCATTGATCGATGTTGTTCGGGAAATTAAGCCAACAGTTTTGATTGGTAAGTAACCCATTTACTCATTGATCACGTACCAATTGTTTTATCTAAAGTCTAATCGTTCAAATAGGAGCCTCGGCAGCTGCCGGTGCTTTCACCCCAGAAGTTCTCAAAGAAATGGCAAAGAACAACGAAAGACCATTAATATTTGCTTTGAGTAATCCAACAAGTAAAGCTGAGTGTACTGCACAACAAGCTTACGATTTTACAGATGTAAGTTATTTGAATCATTTCTAAAACGTTTAATATATAATCATTTCTTATCTTTTGTTTTATTTTAGGGTAGATGCATATTCTCATCTGGCTCACCCTTTGGCGAAGTGAAACATAATGGAAAAACTTACAAACCGGGCCAGGGTAACAACGCATACATTTTTCCTGGAATTGCATTAGGCGTTATTGCAACTGGAGTGCATCATATCACTGAAGATTTATTCCTCATTTCTGCTCAATCAATAGCCGATCATGTGACTAATGAAGATCTTGAAATGGGTAGTTTATATCCACCCTTGAGTACCATTCGTGAATGTTCTATCGATATTGCTGTTAAAATAGCCAATTATGCTTATGCCAAAAGTATGTAATACAATCTAATAATTGTTTTTTTCAATAATGATCATCGTTCATTGATCTAATTATTATTTTAAATGAACAGGTGGTTTAGCTAGCGAATATCCCGAGCCAAAGGATAAACGACAATTTATTGTCAGTAAAATGTATGATGCCAATTATGATAGTCCACTGCCAAATTTATATGATTGGCCAAGTGATTATGCCGAACCTCGTGTATTACCAGACAAGTAAGTTATTATTTTATTTATACAACATTATTTTCATTTCAATTAGTCAAATAATAAATCCTTCGATAGCACATATCCAAACATTCGTATAAAATCAATACAGATAAAATAAGATTTAGTATTATTTAATCTTTTTTTTTTTTTCTCTATAAAAAGCCGTAGAAATTAATTCGAAAGAATGATTAATTTTGATTGATTTATAATCATCGATAGATTAGAACAATAATTTCAACCGCAAGAAAATAAGTCCCAACGTGTGACGTGAACTGTGTGTGACGTGACGTGTTTGGTAGGATTAGTTAAGAACGATACAAATTTTGTAGTTTTAGATAGTTAACATTAATTGATTAATTGATTAATTAATTAATTAATTAATTAGGTATTTATAGCTTGAACGTAACTTGCACGTTTATTTATTTCAATTGCTTATAATATTATTAACGTATTACTATGCGCATTCATTTATCTTTTCTTTTCTTTTCTTTTCTTCTCATTTCTTATCTTTTTAGATAATATCACCAAATTGATTATGTTCTTTCTTTTTGCGTAAGATTATTACGATAACAAATAATGTTGTGCAATTAATGGGGTTATATTTTTAAACCCATTGCGATAATGGCTGTATTTTTTTTTTTTATTTTTATTTATTTATTTATTTTTATTTTTTTTTTTTTTGTAAAGAATACGAGATAAGAAAGAAAAGAAGAAAAGTAAAACGACATTTATTTTAGCTTTTGACGTAGCTCAATTTTTAACAAAAGCTTCCCTAAGCTTATTATTATGTTCGCGCTAATAAACAAACAAAAAAAACAAGTAGTATATATAATTAAAGAATTAATTTATATTTGTAAAGGTTGTTTCTTTTATTAATTTATTTCTATTTCTTATTCTTTTTGGTTTTATTTTTTCTAATTTTTACTCGATAACTTTCTAATAACTGCTACTACGAGTATTACTCATATTTCATTTGTTTTTGTTTTTTTATTTAACGATTGGCATTATAATTATCCGCTTATTAGAATATAATTTAAATCATATTATTATTATTATTTTGTCATTAAAACGTTGAGTGTCACGTCAGTCGACAATGATTGACACTGAACTTCCCGTTCAGACCATGTCAGGTGCAGGTGCCTGACGATCAACCTTTCGTTTGATGGTTGATGGTTGATGGTTGACGCGTGGCCTGACCAAGATTTCTATAAGAATTCACGTGGCGTTCAACGTGTTAATAAGAAATAACAAACTAACACGTTGAACGCCACGCCAGCCATCGGTGACTGACATTAGACTTTCAGTTTAGGCCACGTCCGTCACAAGTGACTGACACGTTCAATTATTTTTCAATACAAAGTAACACCTGTGGCTTGACAAGAATTTCCCTAAAAATTCACGTGACGCTCAACGTGCTAATGAAAATACCAATCTGTATATTGAAAATTCCATTTTTTCTCTTTTCATCTTCTCATCATCTCCCCCACTCACAGCCATTACTAACAATAATAATTCTAATAATAATAATAAATTCATTCGAAGAAATCTTTCATTAAGCTCATTTATTATTATATTTTGCTAAGCAAAAGCCCAGCTGAAGCGTTGATTAATCTTTTTCAGAGATACTGTAGAAATCCGCCACGATTTAAAACATCTGTAGCGGATTTCACCGGATGGTGGGGATGTTTGAAGGGTATTATATATATAAAAAAAAAAGAAAAAAAAAAGAAAAAAAAATCACTAAGATTTCTGGTAGTAGAAAATCTATTTACTGTGTGTCATGGTAAAAAAAAACTGAGAGAAAGAGAGAGAGAGAGAGAGAGAGAGAAAGAGATTTATATATATATATAATATATTTATATTTGCTAATTTTTTTTTTCTTTATGCTTGTCTTGTTTTTTTCTTTTTTTTTGATTTGTTAATTTTTCTTTTTATAGAAAACAGTTTGCATATTATTTGTTTGTGTAAAAAAAATATTTTCAATGTAAGAATCGTGCTCTACCATGTGATCAAATGGCAATATGTATGTGGGTGTGTGTGTGTGCTTTTTACGTTGATGTAATTTGCATGATGATTAAGTGAAAAAGAAGAAGAAGAATGAAAGAATGAGTAAAAGAAAGATCAAAATATTAATGTTCCATTCATAAAACTAATTACTAACAAAAAAATATCATATATAACGGGTGTCGTTTTGCATTGTAACATCCTTTATATACTCCTCCTCCTCATTCGTCCTAATTGACAGTATTAAACAAAATGAAGTTAGAAAAGGTTAATCATCATATAATGTTTCTTTTTTTGGTCTTCATTTTGAACTATTGAAAGTAATTCAAGAAAGTAAAAATATACAATTCGATTTTGTATAAATTTAATTTAATTAAAATCTCAAAAAGTAATAATTTTAGATAAAACATAAAAATATTTCTTAGATTTTATATTTATATATGATATATATTATTATATTATATTAAATATAGATATATAATATAATATTATATAAAATTATATTTTAAAATTATATATATAATATAATATTATATAAAATATATATATATATATATATATATATATATATATATATATATATATATATATATATAATTATAGAGTATATATTATATATTATTATATTATATTTTATATATAAAATATAATTAAACAATTTAGAAATGTTATTATTTATTCGATACACGTGTGTTGTATGTGTGTTTACTTCATATCTTATATTTAATTTCAAATAATTCATTTTTATTATTATATTTAAATTAAATCATTTGTGATTGAGATATTGCGTTCATCAAAAAGATTTACTGTTAATAAGGAAACATATTTTAATCCTATCCTAAAATAATATAACTAGTCCTTCCATATCCTTAAATCGTATGATCGATCCTCCTGATCCAACCAAGTATCCTAAATTTTAAAAGATAAGTGATAAAACAACTAATATTGTAAGTGGCTCGCTTTTGCGCTGTTGCATTTTTTTGGGGTTTTTTGGCCAATAATTGGTATTTAATAATTGGTATTATTATTTATTTACTATTATTCTATTCGTATGAATGGGTTCTATTTCTTTAACAATCTGTCACAATTATATTTTATTCTTTTCATTTATTTATTACTATTATTTATTATTATGATTATTATTATTTATTTTTTCTTCCCTTAAAGTTGTATATGTATATATGTATGAAATAATATATAAAAAAAAAAAAAAATAATTTCACCAAAGTGTAGATAAGTTTCTTACAAATTAGGAAAAAAAAAGAAAAAAGAAAAACAAAACTCTTTTAAGAAAATATTTGATTTTTTTTTGTCCTTTTATTAATATTAGAAAATTTATTTAATTTTTATTTAATCTATAATATATTATTATTATTATATTATTATTAATATTAGAAAATATTAGAAAAATTATCTCTATCGTTTCTATGAGAAATTAATCCAAATTTAATAATTTATTTTATTATTATTATTTTATTTACTTATTAGTATTATTTTACAATATTGAAATTATTTTTCTTTTCTTTAAATAAAAAAAAAAAAAAATCTATTTTTATTTGATAAAACTTGAAAATTCTCATTTTGATATATTTATAAAAAACAAGGCAAAAATATTATTTTCTTCTCTCTTATAAGCTTAGGTATTAAAAAAAGTAGGAATTGTCGTCTTGTATGTCGCATGTGTTTCTATGATGTGTGTAACATAAAACTTTATAAAAATGATACAATTTAATAAGTAAATTATGCTTAATGTGATAATTGTGACACGAACAATTGAATTAATTATTAATTATCTCGTGAGAGTGTGAATTGATATTTTTTTCATTATCAAAGATTTACGGTATTATAAATGTAAAAAAAAAAAAAAAGAAACAAAACGTTTTTGTCAGGATTTCGCCCTTTCCCTATTTGCCCCAATTTTTTAAAAATTCTCAACATTTAGCCAAATGATAGGAAATATTTCTTATTTTAAAATATTTCTCGACAAATATTATTTATGTAAAAAAAGAAAATATACATGTTAATTGTTGATAAGAATAATAATGTGATAAGAATTAAATGAAGAAAAACTTCATATGTTTATAATAATATATATAGATATAAAAAATAGTTATCGTTTGGCTAAATGTTTAAAACCCTTTGAGTGTTATGGACGTATATATGCGTTTGGTAAAAATTATTATCGTGGGTTGTTCGACGTATATACATATTTGTTCATACTAATGTAATATAATGTAATGTTTATATTAATGAAATTCAATTATATATTTAGAAAGAAAAATTTTAATTATTACAAAAATTATATAATTTATTATTATAATGTAAAATTAAAATTATTAATTTAATAATAATAGTTTATCATATTTAATTATTTTTATTATTATTATAATTTATTTATTTATTTTTTTTTTTATTAATAATAAATTATTCCATTTCTAGATAACATTTTAGGTAAAAGTATTGAGCACTCAAAGGGTTAAAAAAAAAAAAAAGAAGTAAAATTAAAAACAACAAGAAAAATGAGGAAAATTTATAGAAGCAAACAAACAAATTGTTTTGAATAATGTCATTTTAATTATGACTAACCCTGTTCTTCTCCCAACAGATTATAACGTGTTGGCGAGTGTTTAACAAGGCAGCGCCTGTGAACAAAACAAAAATATACAAATATATACACAAACACAAACATATACCTACAACAACACATACCACACACTCGTTTCTAAATTTATTTTAATGACTGAAAAAGTACGATCGTTTTCTTAGCCCTTAACGAATCTATTCATTAAATACTATTATTATTATTACTATTATTATTACTATTATTATTACTATGAAGTGATTAATTAAATAATTCAATGTGATTATATAATCATAAAAAAGTATTAAAATATAATTAATATTCCATAATTATCAATATGGTTGTTGTTAAAAATAGTTAAGGGTTGAGGATGGTCAGACCGAACAGTATTTAAATTATGATAATTAATTAACAAACAAACAAAAACAAAAAAAAAACAAAAAGAAACAAAAAGTGTTTGTAAGTAAGTGAGAAAGAAAGAGGAAACAGAAAAATTTCCTCAGAAAAACGTGAATGTAACTTTTTATCAATCGATTTACATACTTTTGTCGTGTGTACTTATATGTGACCACATATCGTACTTATTTATTTTAAATATTACTATTATTATTAGATTAAAATAATATGAATATTATTTTGTTTTGAAATTAGATCAAAATGAATTTTCAGTATAAAAGTTTTGTTTCCTTTAAAAAACATTTGATAACGTTCGGTCGAAAAATCTAATAATTTGCAGAAATAAAATTTTAAAGGTAATTTTCAAATCAAAGTTAATTACCGAAAAAATTAAAAGATAGTTATTGAAAAAAAAAAAAAGAAAAAAAAACAGACATTTAGATTGATTGTTCAATGTTAGTTGTATGAAGAAAAAAAAAGAAACAAAACAACAAAATTATTATATTATCCTGTCATGAACAAAAAAATATGTAACTGCACAATAATGTCGAGTTAGTTGTTGTTGTGTCACTTGTATGTTCTCTTTTCTTTTTTATTTTATTTTATTTTATTTTATTTTATTTTATTTTAAATCGATTTTTATCGATAATAATAAATCTCAGGAGGATCGTTGTAATTTACGAAATATTGTAACTGGTATTTTTTGTACAGTATTTTCAGCATACACATCTTTTTATTCTTAAAATAAAACTAAAACAAAATAAAACAAAAAAAAAAAAGAAAGAAAATAAAATGAACGAAACAAAATGCAAAGAAATGTCAATATTTCGAAAATTCATAAACTGGACATTTTGTCAAAGGGTTCCTACGTTGTATCTGAAAATGAAATAAACAAAAAACAAAATAATAATAATAAAATATAGAAAAATAATCTCAATTGAACATCGAATAGACCTCAATTACTGCCAATACTTTTGAAAGTTCAACAAAATATATCTTAGATATATATATATATATATTTACCTTATTTTAATTCAATGTTTCCTATTGCGTATTCAAATATTTTTTGTCTCAAAAAAAAAAGACGAAGAAGAAAAATTGTAAAAGGGTAAATATCCTATTCATTAAGATCATAAGATATATTGTTTCGATGCTAATAAATAAATGTTGAATTATAAATGTTAAAATAATATTCGATCATATAATTACACTACCTACATTTGGAAATACGAGAGATTTATGATAGAAGAAACTAGCCACACAGTGAAAAATGAGAAGAAAATAAACGAACAATTAATAAACAAAGCGTTTTATGAAAAGAAAATTTCTATTTACACACTTATAAAAATGATTTCGATCATATTTGAATCAACCATCTCTCATTTGTTCACATCATACCAATCATTAAGTTACAACCATTCTTCATTTGATAGCAACTTTTAAATATATATATATATATATGTATGTATATAATTATGGGAACGCAGCACCAATCATTTGGAAAAAATGTATCATTTCTTTTTCTTTTCTTTTCTTTAGTGTTATCCCTCAGCAATATGTTTGATGTGTACAAGTTTTTTTTTGTTTTCTTTTCTTTTTAAAACCCACTAAATAATATCGATACTTAAAATGAATCTTTTAAACATTACAATTTTAAGTTCGACAAATTTAGCAAATATTTTGATCATATGAACTTATCGATGATGGTCATCATAAAATAACAATGATTTACGAAATATACAATCGGATTAGTTTAGATTTATCTTTTTAGGCACTCTCATTGTCAGAGTTATTTGGTTCATAATCAGGATCATCCTCATCATCATCATCATCCTCCAAATCGAGATCATCCAGATTTTGAAATAAGCTCTCATCTACTTTCACTGCATCTCCTGATATTTTTAACAAAAATATATCATCGTAAATATATATGTATATATTCATAATTTCTTAAAAGAAAACAAACGAAAAGAGATTTGTACCATCGTCTAGGAATTTAAGGTCAGATTGATCTAAGGTTCTATCTGTCATGAATAATTCTCTTCCTGTTAATTTCTTTCCTTCTCGATCTGCCATTTCTTTTCTCTTAGTGTGACCCATTTCTTCGTCAAACTTTTCCTTCCAGCTTAGGAAAGTTTCTACGGTAACTCTGGTTCCTTCAAATCTTTTCTATCGAAGTAAACGATCAGACTTTGTAATTAAATTAATGACATATTATTATTATGCCTAACAAAAGAAAATATTCGCATAGATCTTTCGTTTATATAATCCTAATAATAATTTGATATATTGAGTTGGCAATTAGGTTTCATTGCAAATGTTATTATACACCTAATTCAGTTTTTTGATAGTAAACATCAGAAATTTGATGAACAAAATGTCATCAACAAAAATGGACAGTACTTAATTGAATAAACTTATATTTTTAAACAAACATGTTGAATTTTCATTCTTATTTCAAATCTCCAATCACTCAGTTGCCAATCCAATATTTCATCGCTTACTCTTTCAGCTTCTTCCTCCTCTTTAAGTTTTAAAGCAGCATATTCTTCCCTGTGCAATTTTATTTTATCCCATTGTACATTCATCCATTCTTGTGCCGCACTGACCAACGTAAAGACCATTACCATTCCTAAATTTTCATTGATTTGTTCAATCAAATGTTTAGTCAATTCCTCAGCACTACTTTCTTCAAAGTTTTCAGGATCTTGTATTGAAACAACAAGAGGTTTGTCTGGATATTCTGACGTATAAGTAAATTCTAATCGACAACTCAAACCATTGTCTGTTTCTGCTTCATATTCCTCTGTTTTAATTGGTATTGCGAACGAATAGAATGGCTCTGTACTTAAGACTAAACAATATAATCATTTTAAATCACAAATCAAATTTTATATATAAATTTTAATATATATATATAAATAACATAATTTCTCATAAAAAAAATCTAATATAAAATACTCGTACTTTATTACTAAATATTATACAATATAAGAAACAATAAATTTATAGGTTATGATAAGAATAAAAACAAAAGGGAAAGAAAAACACAACCAACAAATTTTCCATACTTTCCATTTCTCCACAATATATTGATTCCAAAGCTTCGATTTCATTTCGTTGTTCCTCTTGATAATCCATCGTGTATAATTTTACAAATAATCTTATCAAAATTCAATAAAATATCAAGTAAACTTATTCGATATTAGCAAATAATATAATGTCATGTTACACGGTAAGAAAATTTACCGCGTGCAATACTACACGATAGATATTAAAAGCGACATCTGTTGGATTTTCAATGAAACGATACAGCTGACATTTGTATTCAAATTGTTCAATGAATTCGTATCAATAGAGTACTACACGTGGGTAAAGTAGTCAAACGAAATACGCGCCAAAAGATGTTAATTATGAATGACATTTACTATCACGTGATTTAAATGTCACCAAACGTCGTAAATACAAATATAAATAAACCTTGTATTTAATAATTATTATTGTCTGTAATATTACTCATATTATTCGCATATAATTAATATTTTATATAAAATAAGATAAAAACATATAAGAAAATAAAAAAGCGAAAGAGAAAATACAATAAATGTTACATAATACGTCGAATATGTATTATAGTTTAAACCAATGGAAAAGTTTAGTCAGTTCAAGGATCACATTAAACATTCTTGTTGATCAAAATCGATCATAATCTCTACGAGACATCTTAAAATTATATTAATAGCTCATTCTCTCCCCAATCTTTTTCGAAGTAAAACCATGTTACACGTGGAAGACATAAAAACAAGCCTAAATGAACATTTTTCTCTATAGTCGAAATGTATGTATAAAAATATTTCAAGCTTAGTCATTTTGAATTATTTTTATCCTAAAAATTTCCAATAATGAAACACACGCAAATGTTAAGAGTAAAATACAAATTGTTGATAACAAAAACAAAAGATAAGAACAATGTATAAACACATTGAAAACAATTATTAACACAATACGTGTTTGTGAGTACATGTACTACTCATATGTGTATATTTGACCATGTATATGTAAATACAAAAATATATTAGTTTAAAAAGTTATTTTTAAAATGAAGAATTTCATTGATAACACGTACTAAAATATAAAAAAAGAAACATTGTGTTAAACTTATTTCTTCTTTTTGTAAATTATAAAAACCTATATGTGTTCGTGAAAATAATACGTGTGTGTTTGTATATATAAATATATTTATAGTATATATCAGGAATGGCGTCAGGAACTTTGAGATCAGTTCAGTCAGCAGGAGTATCTCAAAGCTGGGAATTTAGTATAGCTAGAGAAATAAAGAGAGTGAGTGAGAGAGAAAGAAAAAGAAAGAAAAAGAAAGAAAAAGAAAGAAAGAAAGAAAGAAAGAAAGAGAGAGAAAGAGAGAGAAAGAGAGAGTACCGTTGAGACTAGCAACGTTTCGCCCTGGTGGCAATCAATACACGGCAGTGGAACACGGCACGACGATAACATAGTAGTAGTAGTAGTAATAGTAGTAGTAGTAGTAGTAGTAGTAGTAGTAGTAATAGTAGTCGATATACTAGCCTTCATTGATATGTATTAGTAAACTTATACCAGTATATTGGTAGTGGTGGATGGTGGTGTAGGTGGTGATAGCAATGGTAAAGGTGCTAGTGGTGGTGCTGGTGCTGCTGGTTGTGTGGTGGAAATGGTGGAAATTGTGGAGGTGGTGGTGGTGATGGTGGTGGTGGTGGGTTTGAAGTCTCGTGCGTTTAAAGCTCGGAGCTTTCTCAGTCGGACGTGTACTCTCGCGTCGAAATCTTGGCATCGAAAGCTCGCGATAAAAAATTTGTCAAGATTACACACATCTGTTATAAATATATATATATACATACATACATATATATATTTAAATAAGTTTTCGTTTATCTTGAAGATTTTTAGATATATTATCTATTCCTATATTTGTTTTTCTGTTTCGAAAAAGAGAAAGAAAGAGAGAAAGAAAAAGGAAAGGAAGAAAATTCGCGCGCCTAAAAATTCAGCTACGATATTTTTTTGAGAAGAAAGAAAGAGAGAGAGAAAGAGAGAGAGAGAGAATGAGGGAGGAAAAGTGGAAAATAGAAATGAGATAGATAGATAGATAGATGGATAGATAGATAGAAAGAGGTAAAACGGAAAGGCGGAGGTTTCAACCGGCAAAATGGCGGCAGGCGAAACTGCAACTATGAAGAAGTTTTTAAATCCTTCGTGAATAATTGATATACATAATGAAATAATTTTTGAGAACGAAGAAGACAAGAAAGTAAGAAGAAAACGTGAGTGGGGGAAGAAGAAATATTGTGTTTTAAGGAAAAAAATAGAAAGAACAAAAAAAGAATAAAAATAATTATAACAATAATAATAATAATATTAATAATAATAATTGAAATATCGTTTCTTCAAAACTTCATTTGACGACCAAAACATTTTGAGGATAATAAAAAAAAATGTGTATAATCTTTTTAATAATATCATTGATTTAATCGATCGATAAGAATTTGCTTGCATTTATATATGTGTATAAAAAATATATATATATATATATATATATATATATATATATATATATATGTATAATAAATAATAGAAATAATAATAAAAAAAGAACATTAGAATTGGCCCGTTTCCTGGGTGACCACGCGAGATTATCGATCGCGGATCCTTGAACGGTCATGAAAGGAGGAAGGTCGATTTTTCATTGGACTAGCGTGTCCATTGGTGTTGTTGGATCAAAGTGGTCGAAGTCTAGGATCATTTTTGGTGTTAGTATCGTTTGACCGATTGTACAAGAAGAGAAAGAAAACCTAAACTACAATTATCATGCATCTACATTTTGAGAAGAACAATAACGCCAAGTGCGATTGTAATATCTTATCCCTCAGTTGGATGGGCAAAGTACCGGACGAGTCACCTGAGGTATGATTTTTATCTCATATTATTATTATTATTATTCTTATTTTATATTAGTATTTTTAATTAACGAGAATATTACGATTGAATTTATTTAAGGAATGTACACACACATAGCTATTTTTTATTATTTTAATATTATTTTATATATGATAATAATATAATATATTATTAAATATATATAATATAAATATATAATAATAGAAATAATAAATATGTATATATATATATATTTTATATGTGTATATAATTTTTCGTATTTTATATTGTTACATATATATATATATATGATTGTGTGTATGTGTGTTCGCGTACGAAGTCAAGTGGGTATAAAGTTGGAACGCCAATAAAACGTAAAGCTAAACGAGCATCCTTCTAAGTAGGTTAGAAAGTTTCGATAAAGAATTTATAAGCATATATAGTCTTTCTTCTTTCGATAAAAATCCCCGAATGAATTTTCTATCCAAAGGAATTATCGATGATGTTACCTTTTATGAGACACACATACACACACACACACACACATATCTTTATTCAATTGATTTATCGTATTTTCCTGTAAACGTTCGAAAATACACATGTGTAATAATTTAACAATTTATAGTATATAATATTTATTTTTCTGTCTTTTTGTTTTATTTCTTGTTACTTTTATAACATTGAAGAATTAGTTTTACAAACTTGTGTAATATTAGTTTTGACAAATTTTTCATTTCCTGGGGGATGTATTAATATAAAGAAAAGAAAAAAAAAACAAGAAATATGAGGTAATCGTATAATATGTTATGCACCCACACACATATACACAAACACCCCCATACAAACACGTTAACGTTGAAAAGACTTACCACTAATGACGCCAGCAAAGTTTCGTTTGCATACAACACTTTCTGTTTTTTTTTTTTTTTTATTACTTCTTTTAAACTATATAATATAATTTAATAATTTTGAAAATCCTACCACACACAAACTTTTATACCAGCGTTATTCATTTATTTTATACGTTCTGTTATATTCACCCCTTTTTTCTTATAATTATTTAAAACGTTGTTAATTATCTCTACAAATATTTCAACGAAATCGATCGATTATTTCGTTCCTTTCATAAACCTATAGATATTGTTTAGATCATTAGTTATTTTTGTTCTAACCACGTCTAAAACGATTAGATGTTACTCTGACCTTATAGAATTTTTAGAAATTATCTACTCGAATGAACCACCAAAAATGCAAACACGTTTTATGGATGTAATAATCACGTTTGAAGAAGCTTAGAAATAGCACGAGTAGAACTTCTTATTCTTTTACTTGTATAATAAATCTTTTAACCTTGAATTTAGATATCATACGTTATTAAATAAACATACAAGGTGTCTTTCATAAAAAAAATGAATTATAATATTAAAAATGAATATCGATTAACACGTTCCATGGCAAACCCTTCGTACCTGACTTATCATTCATTTAATTTTGCTTGAACAAAATCAACCATTACATGTAATTATTCATTATTATTAAGTATAACAATTAAACAAACTTATGTGCTGCATTTTGTAGAATACACATCAATGTTTTAATAGAAAAAAAAAATTATTCTTTTACAGAATTAAATTTATTATAAACATTAAAAATAAATATGTCTAATGGTAAGTGTACAACCGGTGGGGTACACGTGGCACAGAACGTCTTAATAAACATTTGATTTTGATTTTTACAATGAAAATAAAAACTTAACGATGCTTATGAAAAATTAACAAATATATTTATGAACAACTTGTCAAAGTATTAGAATATATCTATGATTATCTTCGAATAAAATAACATTCAATTATATATATTTCGTAACATTAGCAATAATTCGAAAGATCAAAATGTAAAGTTGTTGTTGGGGGGGTGGGGGAGGTTTGGAATCTTGGCTGACCCAGGTCAGTCAATCAGAAAAGAAAAAGAAAACGAGGTTGCAACGTGTTAGTACGACTTGGCCAAGTTGGAACGCCAACTCAAGGGTAATGTCAGTCGATCGAATCGTTATCACGCGATGAGAATAAATAAAAATGTTCCGAGCATTAAAATGAAAAGAGAGAGAGAGAGAGAGAGAGAGAGAGAACAAAAAAACGTGATCTAATTAATTGAAAAAAAAAAGGAAGAAGAAGAAGAAAATAGAAAAAGAAAGAAATACAATATTTTTTCTTAGAGAATTTACGTACTAATAATAAAATATTAATGGTAATAGAAAAATGTTGATAAACGTTGAATAGATCAGAGTTCGAGCAATGATAGAAGAAAATCGTTGGTGCGTGTACGTTGGTTAACAGATGTGGAGCGTGAAATCAGTTTGTCGTGTTCCGTGCTAACCGATTCAACTGTCATTTTCGTCCTGCATTCGTGTCAAACGCAGCACGAAATTAATATCCGATCCACCCTCGTTTATGGATTTCATCTACGACAGCATCAACGATACCTAACTTCTCGTTATGTCATCGGATCAGTTCAGTCTATTTAATCGTTTGTAAAAAGACAATTATTTTCTAATTGTTTCATTCTTACTATTATCAACAAAAAAAAAAAAAAATAAAAAAATAAAATAAAAGATTCATCAGACGAAGAAAAAAAAAACCATATGTATTATTCTTTTTTATTTCTTCATTATTATTATCTTCTTTGAATTATATAAAAAGATGAACAATTTTTTCAAATTGGATTACAACAACCCCTCCCCGAATTCTCAACACCACCCCCACACCCGAAGGAATCGAAAGAAAAGTTTTACACGACAACCATTTTTGACTAATGCATGATACAACCATATTCACATGTTACTTCGTGATAAATATTTCCATCAAGAATTCAAGTTAATAGACGTCGATAAGTTATAAATAAAGTAATAAAAGGGGAGGGAAAGAATAGAAGATAAAGAAAAAGAAAAAAAAAGAAATTTGTTCTTAAGTCTCCAAGGGATGATTCGTTCAGCTGGAGGTCTGTTAATAATCCCTGAGAGAATCGGCAAGCCACATCAAAGCGAGTCCAAGGAAGATTGGAACCCACTGGGAGAGAGGGTGTAGGGAAGGAGAGGGGGGGGGGGAAGGAAGGGAAAGCAAAGTCTTCTCTTAAAGGACGGCAACAGGGAGAAGAGTATGGGTGTAAGGGGTGTAGGGGTGGAGAGTTATAGAATACGAGGTAGGATTCTTACCCTCTTCTGTTCATAGGCACACGACGACGACGAGGATGATGCACAACCAACACGAGTAAACGAGAAAAGGGATGTTTCGTAAAGGGAGGAACCACCACCAAGAGTGTTATATTCGCACAGCCTGTTACTACTTACACTTTCTCAAGAATCTAAGATCGTGCCTGGTGTCTCAAGTGACTCTCATTTCATGCCACATACGCTCCCAACAATATTCCCATATCCTGTAAAACTCTTACATTAAATGTCCTTTTAATATATTTTGTTGTTTTTTATTTATTTTTTTATTAAATTCTATATATATATATATAATGAATAATAATATATTAAATTATTAATATATAAATAATTATATAATTATTAAATAATAGTATATATTATATAATAATTACTTGTATTAATTATAAATATAAATATTATAATAAATTATAATAAATTATAATATATATATTTTATAAATATATATATATATAATTATTATTAAAAATATAAAATACTATATAATATATATTAAATTCTAGACCTTTTGTGCTTATATTGAATTTTAATTTTAACTTCTTCTTCTTCTTCTTCTTCACAAAAGCAAATTTTTAATAATTTCTTCCAATTATTTCTTTTATTTTGTCTTAATTGAACATTATTTATTATTAATATTATTATTTTTAGCTAATTTTTTTAAACAACGCGAATATTACGTATTCTTAAATGATAATAATGAAAATAAAACTGAAAGATTTAGATATTTAACTAAAAGTTAGAGAATGAAATGAAAGAATGTTACAAAGGATATAGGAATTAACCCCTAAAATGATGTTCAAAGAGAATAAAGAGAAAAGGATCGACGACACATCGAGTATCCTAAAAGTATGAGAGAGAGAAAGAGAGTTGGGAAAAGGGCTTACAAAGGGACACACCACGTCTAAAGCCAATGACGTTCAATTAATCTTGCTATCTATCTATCTCTTTCTCTCTTTCGTTTTCAGCTTGATGCTGCAATCTTTCTTTTTCTATCTTTCTCTTGTTCACACTGTCAAGTTTTTGGCTCACACGTTCGTGTTCCCATTCACAAGAGTTTTTCTACTTAAACACGTGGGTATTATATTATATAGGTAGACATATATATATATATATTTACGATAGGTGTTGTAATCTTTAACACACTTTTTAATAGAATTTAATCCCTTCAAAATTAATTTCCTTAAATTTATTTAATAACTTGTAATATTAATTATTGAAAAAATAATTTTAAAAAATATTTACGATAGATGTTGTAATATTTAACACACTTTTTAATAGAATTTAACCCTCTCTCAAATTAATTTCTTTACATTTATTTAATAACTTGTAATATTAATTATTGAAAAAATAATTTTAAAAAATATTTACGATAGATGTTGTAATCTTTAACACACTTTTTAATAGAATTTAACCCTCTCTCAAATTAATTTCTTTAAATTTATTTAAAAACTTGTAATATTAATTATTGCAAATATGATTCGATAGTATTGCAGAAATGGTGGAGTATTAATAAAATGTTTCATTAAAATTCTACTTTTCTAAGTACTATTATTACTACACACACCTGCCTGAAATGAAATGTTTGCAAAAAGAAAAGATACAATAGTAGCTTGGGAACCAAATTGGACAATGCTGCAATATAAAATTCATTTTTCAAAAGCAGAATAACAAAAATAAAAATTTGCTCGTTTTAGTGGTATCCCTGGGGAGAGAGAGGAGGGGGAAGGTTATGCATAGAAAAAGCAAAAAAAAAATATTCTTTTAGAACTGCACGATGAATTTCCGTTCATGGAAAAATATT